CATTGTCTTGTTGAAAAACAAATGATGGTCCCAGTAAGAGGCAAACCAGATGGGATGGCATGGCGCTGCAGAATGCTGTGGTAGCCATGCTGGTTAAGTGTGCCGTGAATTCTGAATAAATCACCAACAGTGTCACCAGCAAAGCCCCCCCCCCCCACACCAACACACTTTCTCCTCCATGCTTCACGGTGGGAACCACACATGCAGAAACCGTCCGCTCACCTTCTCTGCGTCTCACAAAGACACGGAGGTTGGAACAAAAAAAACCTCAATTTGGACTCCATCAGACCAAAGTACAGACTTCCACTGGTCTGATGTCCAATCCTTGGGTTTCTTGGCCCAAACAATTCTCTTCTTCTTGTTGTTGTTCATCCTCAGTAGTAGCTTCTTTGCAGCGATTGGACCATGAAGGCCTGATTCACGCAGTCTCCTCTGAACAGTGGATGTTGAGATAGTCTGCTACTTGAGCTCTGTGATCATTTATGGGCTCTAATCTGAGGTGCTTTCATTTTCGGTTTCTGAGGCTGGTAACTCTGATGTATTTCTCCTCTGCCGCAGAGGTCTCTCTTGCTCTTCCTTTCCTGGGGGGGTCCTCATGAGAGCCAGTTTCATCATAGCGTTCGATGGTTTTTGCGACTGCACTTGAGGATTCATTCAAAGTTCTTGACATTATCCGGATCGACTGGCCTTCATTTCTTAACAGTAATGATGGACGGTCGTTTCTCTTTACTGAGTTGAGTGGTTCTTCCCATAATATGGATTACAACAGTAGTCAAATAGGGCTCTCCACTGTGCACTAACCCTACCTCTGCACAACACAACTGATGGTCTCAAACACATTTAAGAAGGCAAGTCATTCCACAAATTGACTCTTGACAAGGCACACGTGTTAATTGAAAACCATTCAAGGTGACGACCTCATGAAGCTGACTGAGAGAAGCCAAGAGTGTGCAAAGCTGTCATCAAGACAAAAGGGGACTACTTTGAAGAATCTAAAAAGAAAATCATTTTCTGGATTGTTTAACAGTTTTTTGTTTACTAGATAATTCCATATGTGTTCTTTCATAGTTTTGATGTCTTCAGTATTAATCTACAAAGTAGAAACATTTTTAAATAAACAAAAACCATTGAATGAGAAGGTGTGTCCAAACTTCTGACTGGTACTCTACATTTAAATGTGCAGATAATGATGGGTAGGGAACCTGTATCTGCGGAGGTATTGTGAAACAGTGTTAGATATTTTACCCTGTGCAATGGTTTCTGTTTCACATCCTGGCAGCGGCAGACTGCTGATCAAGCAAAGAGCCAATCACTAGGATCTTTCTCACAGCAGACATCTACTGCGGATAGATTTTTTCTCACATTTTAAAAATCAATAATGCTCCCTTCCTCACAGGCTCATGCCCGGAGAGCTATGGACTTTCTGTGGGAGAAGAGACAGAGAAACAGCAACCTGGTGGGAACAACCATCAACATCCACTCTGGAGAGTGGGTCCGCAGGGGTGAGAGAAGGGGAGAGGGGACCTGAGGGGAAGGGACCTGAGGGGAAGGGACCTGAGGGGACCTGAGGGGAAGGGACCTGAGGGGAGGTTAGAGGGGACCTTAGGAGACCTGAGGGGACCTGAGGGGAAGGGACCTGAGGGGAGAGGGGAGGGTAGAGGGGACCTTAGGGGACCTGAGGGGAGAGTTGTTCATATGTAGGCGTAAACAAGGACATGGGAAAGTGTGTATTAGGTATAAGTATATCTTTCTGTCTGGGTGAGAGGGGATTGGGTTAACGGGTAAAAATAGAAAACATCCAATATGTCTTTTAAAGTGATGTATGGTTGTGTGTCCCCAGACAGCGGAGTAGGAGCGGGAATCGACTCTTACTATGAATACCTGCTAAAGGCTTACGTCCTCTTGGGAGATGACCAGTTTCTGCAGCGGTTCAATATTGTGAGGACAAACACACACACTCTTATACACACACACACACACACACACACACACACACACACACACACACACACACACACACACACACACACACACACA